ATTTCCTTCCAGCCGTTGAGGTAGATGTACCTTGTCAACAGGAGGGTTTCCTCAGTCGACGAGGTACATGTACCTTGACAAGGATTTCCTTCCAGTTGGCGAGGTACATGTACCTCGTCAACAGGAGGGTTTCCCTCCAGCCGTTGAGGTACATGTACCTCGACGGCTGGAAGGAAATCCTTCCAGCTGTCAAACATGTACCTCGCCGGCTGGAAGGAAACCCTTCCGGCCGGCCATCTACCCTTCTGGCCTCGGGTATCCTTTAGGATACCCGGATACCCGCCAGTGTTTTGCGGAAAAGGGGCCATCCGCACCCGCTGGCGGGTATCCGCCAGGGGATAGCAGGTATCCCCAACGGATACCCTTCGACCATCTCTAGTTGATTAAGTAGGAACAAGGATTTTGGGCCAGCAATGTTAAAAGGTTCACTCCTCTCCACCAGCAAGGCTCAACTTCTACCGCAGAAGTGGCTGAACAGACCCCGGATGCTCCAAGTGACTTGGAGCCAGATTCAGATGATCACTTGGACAACAAACCTGCAAAGAAGAAGAAACAGAAACTTGCCCAACCAAATCAACCATCTATCACCTCAAAAGCAGAAGCCTCCGCCTCCAAGAAGAAGCCTGAAGAGCTCAAAACATCAAATACCAAACCAGGGAAATAAACCACCCAAAAACCAGGCTTGATCACGACTGGCGCCAAATGTGGTAAGCGGATTATGGTCACCTGTTATACCTTTAGTGCGCCTGGTCAACAGGGCCAACTCTGTGATGGCTGTGCCCAGGAACTGGCTAAGAATTCAAAGTCTAGCTCCAACAATAACCATCTCCCTTCCAACACTGGGCTGCATAGCTAACTGTAGCAGTTGGCGCATCGTAAAATAGCAGAATTACACTAATGTTTAGCTTAGCACAGCAGAATTCTGCCACAACAATGCTAATGCTATGCATGTGGGAAGCAAAAAGGGTCCAATACTCTGCGCTACAGCCAATGTTGGGCCGCTAGACTAACCGTTGTGGTGAGACCAATCGCATACATATCACGTAAATTGGAAACATAACTTGACACAAATATTAATTACACACCAAAGATAAAGAGTTTACAACATAAGATAATCTACACAATTATTTTCTTCTTAAATCATAGTCAATTTTATCATCATTAGTCATAAAATATTTAATTCCATACATATAATAAATATATTCAGATAACATAAAGAAATGGCTAAGAAAATACCATTTACCCTCTTAGAGTAAAGAAACAAGATATTGATCAGAAAGTACCTTACAGACTAGATCTAGAAAATAACTCTTATACTAGTTAGTCCTAGAATACCCATCTCATAGTAATTAATCTAAGAATAGGCATCTTATAGAAGAATTACAACCTCTTGTATTAGAAGGGCACTTAGAGATTAATTCATATCAGATTAGCCCATCTCAGAGTAGTAAAATCCACTCTAGAAGTACCTTTCTCAGACGCACTTGTGTTCAGGCAAAAATCTCATGTACTGCAGAACCATTTGTCTATAAATAGAGGCTCTTCTGGCCCAGGTTTTCCTCTTCCCTCCTCATGTTTGCACCAGAGAAGTAATTAGAGATATTACTTAGCACTCATCAAAACCAGATGCTAGCTACAGAACAGTAATCAGAGATATTACTCAGCTTTCATCACCCCTTGATTAAAGAAATCCAGAGATCATTAGAGCCCTTTGAACTTACCTTACCTCAATTTTGGCCATAGAAAAGTAATTCAGAAATATTGCTTAGCCATTCTAACCACTTTGAAAGATTTTAGAGAAATCAGTGTACCTTTTATCAGAGCCCAGAGAAACCAGAGAGTCTTATTAGATCAGAGAACCAGAGAGAATTTATGACAGATTTAACAGAGAAACCCTTCAGAAACCCTTATTACTCAGAAAACCCCATAAACTCCTTACCTCTTCAACAGGTATTCTTAAGCAACAATAACAGTAGTATCAACACTAAGATAAATTTAGAAATAAGCCACACTCTTATTTTTCTTAGTGTAACTTTCCCACAAGCTAGACAGGAGGGCAGTCTCACCCACACACCAATACTAATTCTACTATTCCATAGTCTTACTAGCTATTTTATCCCCTCCAAGCTCTTCACTCACTTGCTGAGCAGTTCCACACCGTAGCGGTTAGTGTAACGTAACATAGCAGGATTCCTGCTAACATTAAGTGTAGCACAGCGGCATTCCACCACAACACCGCTAACGCTATGCGTGTGGGCCGCAAAAAAGGGCCCACCACGCTGTGCTACAGTGCATTTTAGCGGCTTTTTGGGGGGAATGATAACCCCCCTCCCCCCCCCCCCCCTTTGCGCACTCACTCCCACACTCCCTTCTCTGAGGGCAGTGTGGGACCGCACACCAATTGAAATTGGTGTACAGGTATGCACTCCAACAATCTGCAGGGGCATTCCCCCAGCAGGTTGGCATGCGGGTCCACACACCAATTTTGATTGGCATGCAATGCTGCATGCCAACCAGCAACCTAAACCCATTTGAATATGGGTTTAGGTTGCGTGTTCTCCCATAGGACCCAGGCATGGGTCCTATGGGATAGCCCTGGGGCTTGAGGCCAATGAAAAAAAAAAAAAGAAAAATGATAAAAAAAAGTCAGGCCAGGAGGGGTTCCTACCGGCCTTGAGACCATACATGGTATTGAATTTCAGATTAAATTACTAAACAACCAAAACCAAACTGAGAGAGCAACAGGATCAGTAAAGATGAAAAACAACAAAGGAATAAGAGAGAACAAAAAACACATGAGACAAGATTCAATGAAATGAGTTTGAGGCATACCACTAAGCATATGGTATAGTTGTGAGTTGATTACTTTTGATAGAAGTAATATGGAGAAGCGGTAGAGTCAAAGCAAGCTAAAAATTAGGAAAACAAGGTAAGCCGGAAGAGAATAAAGTTCAGCGAAATCACATCAAACACAGAGATAAGTAGAGAAGGAGAAAGAAAGAAATATATGAGGAGAAACAACAAACAGCAAGCAAGAAGAAGTAAAGATGCTATAGGTTTTTCAGGAACCTAGAGCAAGATTTTTATAAATCTGAACAGAATCTAGAAGGAAAGGAAAAAAAGGAATGGGGAAAAAGAAGATGTGAATGAGTTAATTGGAAGTATTTAGTTGATTCAGAGCCGGCTGGTGACTTTACAGTTGTTTGAATATTGTTGACAAGTAGCGCGGCAGGATTTTTCCTAAGGGGCCGGAGACCTTGAATCAAGAGCAAAGGAACCAATAAGTTGATGGTTAAGGAACTTGATGTGACAGAGCAGTTTGAGGAGATGAGTTGATGAGACAACCCTAACCGTTTGTGTGAGAATTTGCGAGTTTCACTTCCAGATATAGGCTGCGGAGTCACCTTTCACAGGAAAAACTCAACAGCCCTCCATGTTGATGATGATTGAGCTGATAAACATTTGTCTTGGAGTTTCTTGACTGAGGCCTGCGGAGCCGCCTTTGTTAGTGAGTAGGCAAGCATTTTGGATGAGGGAATCAGGTTAACTTCTATTTCTTTGTTCTTATACCTCTCCCTCGGATTCTTGATCTTGATATCCAGATGTTTTGTCTTCAAGTTTGATCCAAAATTTTTCAGCTTTTCTAGAAGACCTCTATTTTCAATATTGAACAGAGTTGGAGACAGTTCTGTCCTCCACAGCTCTTCAACCAAAAACTTGAGCCACTGATTCTCCCGCTCCCCGTCTGAAAGCGCGTCATCTCAGACTCAGTAGAAGACATTGTGATATTCCGTTGACGTTTTCTGTTCCTTTTGGACAGGATTTCCAAAAGGCTAGAGATCTGCTTTGCGAGATTCGAGTTTCTTGGTCTTCTTCCCAAGTGGTGTCCATGTAATAATTCAAGCAATTGATCAAATCATTTTTGTCCGGTTTGAGAATTAATCCGAGATTCCTAGTTCCTTTGACGTACTTCCAGCAGTGAATTACTTCACTCCAGTGTTTGAGTCCAGGTCGTTGATTGAACTGGGAAAGGATGGAGACAGCGGCGGCTAGATCTGGTCGTGTTTGACAAGCTAGGTAATTAAGCATTCCGGTATAAGACCGGTAGTTGATCCCAGTTGCCATGAATGATTGATGATCTTTGTCAGTCGCAGAGTTCAATTGAACAGCCGGAGTAAGGGGAGTCTTACAGGTCTGCAGTAAGTCAAGCCTAACAGTTCCAGACCTTTTGAGATGAGAGCCAGCTGAGATAGTTCAATTGAGTCTGATTCAATAGAGAGATTCATGCCTAAAAGTGTATCTGGAGAATGGGCAGTCGAGTTGGGGAAGAAGTCAAGAAATTTTCCTTCAAATTTGTCTGTCTGTCCAACCACAATGAGATCATCCATGTGGAAAAATATGAATGGATTTTTTTCCTTGTGGATGAACAGACAAGCATCTGACATGGATGGTTCAAAACCTATATCATGAAACCAGGATGTAATATTCTTGTACCAGATTTTAGGTGCCTGTTTAAGCCCATAGAGAGATTTTTTTAGCTTGAGATAGGGAATTTTTCTCAATGATCCTTCTGGATTTTTTATGTAGATTTCCTCTTCTAGAGGAGTGAACAGAAAAGCACTCTTCACATTGAATTGTTTGATTGGAAGAGCAAGATCAATGGCTAGTACCAGCAGAGTTAGGAGCAAGGGAAATTTCCCAGTTGGAGCAAAAGTATCAAAGAAGTCTTCCCCATACATCTGCAGAAAACCTTGAATACACAGTCGGGCTTTCTGTTTTTTGACAGAGGAGTTGGTGGTTGGCTTAGTCTTGAACACCCACGCAGAATTGAGATTCTTGAGAGGTTTTTCCCATTGATCATCCCAGAATTCATGTTTTTCAATATTATCAAGCTCGCCGTCAATGGCTTTTCTCCATTTCTAAGCATTGGCGCACGTTATAGCCTTCTTGAATGTTTTGGGTTCCTCAGTAAAGTGAGAGTATTTGACTGGACAAACTTGAAGGGTCCTGTCTCAGAGAACGTGACCAGAAGGAGCTTCAGATTCAGGGTTGAGAGAATTGGCAACAGCCTCATTGTCATTGTTGAAATTTTAAACTAAAGAACTTAGGAGGCAGAGGGCCAAGAAGGTGAATTTCCTTTTTGGGAAAGGTTCACGGAAAAAGAGTGAAAGAACCAATACCTTTTCATTCACAAGTAAGAAGCCAGGTTTAAATGGACTAAGTACAAGTGAGCAAAATGTGGTAGAAATGGAAATGAATAAAAAATAGGATATTGAATAAAAACTAAGAGAAAAAATAAATTTAGCTCTTGGAAGAAACAATCTCGGCTGGACTTCTCAGTCTCTTTTAGTCAGGAAAGAAGAGTTAATCAAGAAAAAACAAGAATTCTGTCACAAATATTCAGAGGCCTTAATTCTGAATAATTAGTTTTTAAGAATCAGATAATGAACATAAAAAAAGAAAGAAGTCAATCATGAAGACAAGAGTTGTTGATTAAATTTCTATAGGGAGTTATAATTGGAATACACAAATGCATAAGTTTCAACAGAAAACCAGCTATGATATGCTATAATTCAGTCCAGTTCAAGATGATTCAAGAAAGGAAAGCCATAGAAAAAGATGTAGAAACAAAGGGTGATTTTAGGGAGGAGTAGACCAGATTATCTGAAAACTCAACAGTAATCACTGGAATCATCTTTGGAATCAGAGCTTGATGGATTGGATCAATCTTCCCCCTCCTCACTCAGCAAATTGACTAATTACTCATGTTTGATCTCAATCTTCTCTTCTTGAGTCTCTTTCTCATTGGGCCAAAAAAGGTTTTTCTCAACTTTCTCCTCGAAAAGGATTTTGTCACAGCCGTCAGAGGGTGTAGAAGAAGAAGAAGAACGGAAATCCAAGAAATCAACGCTTTTGGAGTTGATGATTAGACCGTTGTGGTGGTCCAGGCTGTTGTGCGCAACAAAACTGCCAAAACCCCTACCTTATAAGCTAAACCACTTACATATATGAATATATTATTGCATAATCAGAATCTACATACAATTTTACCCATAGTCACTCACTACAACTATACCTCTATCTCTATTAGTTTAGAAGATAATCCAATATAAAGGTTAAAGCCATACATATAACTAGTCATTAATTAGTATGTAATAGTATTTTACCACATATATATAAGTACATACACATAGATTATTACATCAGCAGGCCTCCACCAGTATTGCAGAGCAGTTATGCAACTCTTGCATGCATACGTGCAACCATTAGGCCTCCACTTAGTAACTTAATTGAATTTATGCAGACTTTGCATAAATGCATGTGGACAGAAAAACCTCCACCAGGCAGTGCAACCAGTTATGCAATCCTTACATACAGTAGTACCATATTTAGTTATTTCCACAGCATAATTAGCTCAATGCATGTACTCTTTGCAGGAGGCAGTGTAACCCACAAGGTCACCACCAGCAAAATCACCTCAACGTCATCACCACCAGCAAAAAAAAAACTCAGAAAAGAATATATAAGGAGGCCTCTCCTTCACCAATTCCCCCCATCATCACCCAGCCAGTTCATACCCAACTAGCTCAGTGGTCATCACCATCTTCACTCAGCAGCCCAGGTTTGACTCTCAAACGCCAGAATTTTTTTTATTATTTTTATTAAATAGTTGACTCCCAAAAAAACTGCTGGTTTTGGAGGATCAACTCCCAAACCTTTGGGGGGGAAAATAACAGGGGATTGGGACGTCCCAGGACGGTCTGCAGATGGTTCTCAGGACGTCCTGGACGTTTGGGAGTCAATCCTCCAACTTTTGGGAGTCGATTAGCTAAGACCCATAATATTTACTGAAAGATTATTATCATGGGAAAGAAGGGATGTACTGTGGAAGGACTAATTTGTATTCTTAGGTGTGTGATATGTAGTATGTTGTAGCTATGTAGTACCATATATTATGTAGCCAAATGAGTGTAAAAATTACTATCTTATAATGTTCTGAACTGGATACAGGATAATATATTGGATAGCTTATGTATATCTGGTTGTAATATCATAAAAACTAGTGTGTATAGCTATTTTGTACTGAGTATGACCTTGATTGGTCTCACCACAGTGGGTCTGCCTCAGTGGGGAAAAGTGATCATGCCTTTACAGTTTGTGCTCATGCCCCAACGGGGAAAACGTATTGAGTGAGATCCTCATTGAGGCAAGCTCCTCATTGAAGCAATTTAGTCAAAGTAGCAACTCACCAACAGATTTGAAATTGTCTCACTGGTAAAAATGACAACATCAAGCCGTGGAACAAGATAAATAACAACTCAGGTATCACTCCTAATTTTCTTCTGTTTCCCATCAACATACGCATCACCACCCAAAAGAAAGAATGTTCTATACAATTATTGGAATCACTCTTTTATTCCTAAATCCATGCCAGACTCTGTTTTTAAATGAAGGCAAGGATATCACTCACACAGGTGACTCAACCAAGTCCTTTGGATATAAAGCAGGGCTGTTCAGTATCAATCCAAAATCAATCAGCAAGGTTCCCAAGCTAGGGAAGAAAGAGGCAGAAGGAATTTTTCAGGATTATACCCAAGCAGAAAAATCTTTTTTCTTTATTGGTGCTGATGTGAGTAAGTTCTTGTTTGGAAAATTCTTGAGGAATTCTGTTCACTGATTGAATTGGATAATCTTGTAGGGGACAATCAAGCCACATGATGGGGATAATAGTGTTAAACACAAGCAGAGGGTCATTAAAGTTTTGACAGAGCTTTCTGCTAATCTCAATAATCAAGTTTGGCTAGTAACCTCAAAGGAAGTATCAGAACTTGAAACTACCTATGGTAAAATTCCTGGGCTAAATCTAGCTGGTAAAAAGGGAGAAGAGTTGAGTGCAAGAAACAGTTTCAAATTATAACTTCCAGATATAAGCAATACAAAGCAGCTGCTGAAGGCTAAATTATTGGAAATTAGTTCCAGTAAGCCACCAATTCAATCAAACATATAAAGTGTAATTTTAAAGATCTTTTTCATTTCCCACAGATCTTAACGTAGCTGGTAGAATGAATGATGAAGAGTTTTATAGGCTACCTTACATACATTATTATGAAGATGATAATAAGGAAAAAATAAATATGGAAATGAACCGTAAGTCTTCCATAAAATATTTAGGAATGTGTTGAAATAGGAACTGATTGTTTTGGAACATTCACAGAGATGAGAGAAGCACTGCAAGAGGCTATCAAAAACAATCAAATATTTGAAGATTTTGAAGTAGAATTTATAGATCAAGGAGACAAGTTTGAATTGTCCTTGCAACACAAAGTTTACAGTAACATGGGATTGATACCTGCAATGGTTCTCCAAAAAGGAGCACATGATTTTGCATTGTCTGTGGGTGACATGGATATGGAAGAGAAGATGCACAAGGTACTCAGAACAGCTGGTTGCCATGCTATTATTGTGAAAGAGGAAGAATCAATAGTTGGGAAATTTGCCAAATGTTTTCAATATCCTGAGGAATTTGACTTCAAATCAGGATCTATGTGGAAATCATATGCTTCATACAGACTGGATAATCATGAAAAGGCTATCAGATTTCTTGAATCATTGATAGAATCTTCTCCTTGGGAAATCTTGAAGGTAGGTTTTCCTGGTTCTTCATTCAAAGTTAGTGTGCTTATTTACCATTTTTGGCAGGAATCACTGGCTTTTTGGTTTGAGAAGTTGATGGCAGAACAACAAGGGGGAAATAAACATGGCTATGATACAGCAATTCAAATTGGGAATAAAGAAGGATTCAACTAGTTTTTTTTCTCTTTTTCTTTTCCAATAGTTGTTTCCAGCCACAATCAACCTTCCCAGAAATAAAGCACTGCCTACATCATATATTTTTGACATTGAATCAAATTCTTCCACTGGAAGTTACCGGTGAGTGATAGAAACAAGATAAAGATAAAGATAAATTTGGAATTAGGATTACTTGAAATCCCTGCTCTGGTTCACCATTTATGAATCAAGCTTAGAGGACTGTCATATTTTTCTTTGTCATCACAACAACTTATCATCTGCCTTCTTCTCCTCAGGATGGCTTTCAGCTTTGACTCTTTTTGGCTTCTCTTGAAATTTCAAGCCTACCATCCTGGATGTCCTCCCTACCACTGGATCGGTCAGCTTTGCCATGTGAATATGATGTGATGGCAGCTGGAAGAAATTCAGAAGTTAGAACCAGCCAGCTTGTTTGGGGGTGCATGTTGATGTTATCTTCTGGGCAGGCCAACTGTGATTGGACTAGTGTCTCACGCAAGCTTCAAAGTTTCTGTTGGGGATATGTTGGAAGTAAAATATGATGGACTCTGATAGCAAACCAGTCAATTATGTATAATCTTCAACCAGGTACATAATTGATTGGACTGAAAAGTCAACTTGACCTTGATCCAAGGATTAAGCCGGTCGTTGTGGTAAGCCAATCCTGAGCCTCAAGGCAAAGCAAGACTACATATCACACAAGAATCACAGACCCAAAACCCCTCAAGAGTTTCTCCAGGCCCTCAAACAAAGGCAACACACCAATAACCCTCACAAGTACCCCCCTCATCATGGATAATAACATCTCCCACACCTCTGAAACTGCTCAAATGAGACCCAAGACCAAATTCCTAGTTCACTCTTGATAAGAATTAGCCCACAAACCAACTACACACTAGTAGTACCCCTTCTCAATATAACCTCAAACCCCTCTAAAAAATATTCCTTATCTCTTATCTCCTTCCATCTTATGCCAAGAATTCCCACACAACAGCTATGTTTCATACTAGTCCTCTTTTTGGTACTTTCTTCCCATTGCCTGTTCAATCATTATCTGGGTGAAATAATTACCCCCACCTCTTCCCCTTGATAAGATTATCCAATCCTCTCTCTGTTTCAGAATGAATTCATTACCTTATCTTAGCTTGGCCCTTTCTTTGGTTTCAGTCTAGTCTTATCTTATCTTAGTGCCACACTGAATTAGGCCACATTGTTCATAGTTACAGGTTCCTTCCTTGTTCATTCTTTGTTCCATTTTGTTCCATCCATCTTCCAACCACAAACTGGCCACTCCCCAGAATCTTGTATATAAGGAGCTTTGTTTTTACTCTTCATTTGTTCCACATCAGATCCTGCCCCAGTAAGCCAGATAACTGATCACCCATTATCAGCCAGGTATATGCCCATCAACATTTGGGATACCTTGATTTGTGAACAAGTATATTTAGACTAGTAAACATAAGAAACATTAGACATACCATCCTCAAGAAATCTCCAAAACCACACCTTTCCTTAAGAGTCCATACTCTTATATTTTCTTGTTATCAGAGAGGCAGCCCATTAAAGCATCCGTCCCTCTCAAGCTCTATTCATCCCAAGAGTAGTTCCACATTGTATACCTCTTTCAAGAAACAAGAATGATGGAGCTCAGTAATCTCCGCAAGCCTTCAGATGGAACCCAATTGACCAGCCAAGCTCTAATTGACTTGGAGCATCAGTATGGTGCTCATAAGTTAAGTGCTAAGCTTAGTACCTCCTATTTCCATGTTCAATTTTATATGGCTTAAGCTAATCCGAGCTCATGCTTGTCTTGCAACACTTTTGAAATACTCAACAGCTATCATCCCCTCCCGGTAGTTTTTGATTGAGCAGAAGGATGTAGAGTATGGGATCCAGAAGGGAATGAATACATTGACTTTCATTCCGCGCACTCAGCCGTTAATCAAGGCCACTGCCATCCAAAGATCTTGAAAGCATTGGTAGATCAATCCAGTTGTCTGACACTTTCCTCAAGAGCCTTCCACAATTCATTGTTAGGAATATTTCTCGAGAAACTTTGCGCAACTTTTGGGTATCAAAGAGCGTTACCTATGAATGCTGGGGTCGAAGCGGTTGAGACTGCATTGAAGTTGGCTCAAAAATGGGCTTACGTCAAAAGTGAATATTATTCTTTTCTCAATTGATAAATTGGCCAAGGAGGTCTCAAAAACTAAGTTTTCTTTTGTCACAGCTGTTTTAATTCCCACAGAGGGGGTACCGGTGTGGAACTACTCTTGGGATGAATAGAGCTGGAGAGGGAAAGATGCTTTAATGGGCTGCCTCTCTGATAACTGGGTTGAGTAAGATAACAAGAAAAAGATAAGAGTGTGGACTCTTAAGGAAAGGTGTGGCTTTGGAGGATTGTTGAGATGGGTATGTCTTCTGTCTTCTGGTCTTCTGTCTGAATAATACTAGTATCCCAAATGTTGATGGGCAACTACTAGGCTAATGAAGGGTGATCAGTTATCTGGATTGCTGGGGCAGGATCTGATGGGGAACAAATGAAGAGGGGAAAACAAGGCTCCTTATATACAAAATCTGGGGAGTGGCCAGCTTGTGGTTGGAAACACCATGGAACAAAATGGAACAAGAGAAAATTATCAAGCTGAAACAATGTGGCCCAATTGGTAGGGACTAAGATAAATCTAAGATAAATGGGGAAAATGACATCAGAGACATGCAGGGATGAAATGTGCCACAACCAATGAGGGAGGAAGAATATACCAAAGAGATAAATGAACTAGCCAAATGTGTACTAGTGTGAGACATGCAGATAACCCAAGAGGAATAGTGTGAAACAGTGAAATGTGGCCCAAAGTGGAAATGAGACTAGAGTGAAAGTGGAATAGAATGAAACACATGCAAAGGCCAAGTATGGAAGGCTGAATGGGGATTAATGATGTAAAGCTGCATGAAGTGATTATGTAATAGAGGAATGAAATGTGACTCCAGAGTGTCTTCTGTCCAGGGGGCTTGGTCTTGTGACATCCATGGTGTTGCAGGCTGGCTGAATAGTCCAGAGGGGGGTTGTCTTGATCCTTGAGGGTCTTGTCATTCAGAGGGCTTGATATTGTGCTTGATGCTTTGATTTTGTGGGCCTCTTATTCAAGATTGGCTTACCACACCGGACGGCAAAGCCATAATCTTAAGCGTTGGTGGAAATTTCCATGGTCAAACTTTGGGTGTCATGGGTATGAGGTCAGTTATGATTTATACACGGTGAACAGTGTTCATGATGTCCAAGGTTGCTACTCACTCAGAAAAAGAAGAACAATCAATTTCCAAAGCTTATGCAAAATTGCTTCACCCTTGACCGTTCCACATAGTACTGATCCGGATTACCAAAATTCATTTGGGCCATTTCTGACAAGCATTGGCTCAAGTTGTCCAATCAATGCGCCAGCAAACTCCGGTCAAAGATCATTAAAATACAAGTCTGAGAACTCCCATAGCCATCTACAGGATATCTTGATTGATTGCTGATCTGTGCGCATTCAATTGAACAGTGACTTCCATGATATCGAGTGAGCACTAAACACCCACGGAAAAAATACAGCCACAGTTTTACTTGAGCCTATTCAAGGCGAAGCTGGGTAAGCAGTGATCAAAGGCAATGATCAAAAAATCCTATTAGAAGTACTTTATTGACACTCTACCCATTTCGACACTAGGATTATTGTTCCGGACAACGACTACATTCCAAAAGTAAAGGCCTTATGTGAATCAAACAACGTGTTATTGATAATGGATGAGGTGCAGACTGGGCTTGGTCGAACAGGGAAACTGTAAGCATCTTCTTTTTGACTTTTGATAAGCGTCCAATGATGAAAGAAGTGAGCACATAAATAATGTTGGGCAATTGAAACTAATCCGATCAACACGGGGTCACTTCCAGTCTTTGTCAAGAGCATTCAAATGTCCGAGCAGACATTTTGACTTTAGGTAAATCTTTGTCCGGTGGATTTTATCCAGTCTCTGCGGTTTTGGCAGATGATCACATTATGGGAGTCATCAAAACTGGAGAACACGGCTCTACATTTGGCGGGAACCCGTTAGGTTGTGCTGTGGCAATTGCTGCATTGGATGTATTGATTGAAGAAAACTTGTGCAAGAGGGCCGAGGAAATGGGGAAACTGATGAGAAGTGGTTTATTAGTCAGTTATCTTCAGTTTTATTTCAATCTGTTGAGTTTCTGTTTGGCTGAAAAAAGAAAGCTTTCTGCTCACATTGGCAAAGCAGGAATTGAAATCCATCCGACCATCAGTAGCCAGCCCAATGGGGTATATACAAACTGTCAGAGGCAAAGGTTTATTGAATGCACTTGTGATTGACCCAAACCTATCTCCTAAGAAAAGGGGGGCTTGGGATCTTTGTCTGTTGATGAAATCACAAGGTGTTCTGGCCAAGCCGACCAATTCAAATATCATCCGGTTGACTCCCCCTTTGACAATTGGACCCAATGAAGTCAAACAAGTTGTTAAGGTTATTGGGGAGTGTCTTCAAGATTTGGACCAGGTCAGTTGCTATTCCTTCTTTAACTGCCATGGGTTTCATCTTTCCAAGAATAATTTTTGAAAATCTCATATCAGTTCTTCTTACAGCTTGTTCAAATAGTTGAATAGCCATGGACAACAAATTTCAATGTCCATTCTATGTGATTCAAAGGGAAACCGCTTAGCCCAATTCAAGTCTGCTTTCCTGGCTTTTACCACTCTTTGCAGGCTCTTTGGTGAGATGAATGGCTTTGCATGAGCTTCATTTGGTTTGTAGGTTGGATAAAATGTCATATATTTCTTGGAATGATTTTGTTAAATTTGTATTTAAAGATTTCATCATCTCAGGTTCATTCATGGGGATGTACAATTTTATATCAGAGCTTCAAAATTTGTATATTCATCAATAGGAAATGATGTGCTGACTGGTACTCAACATTTACAGATACAAAAACTGAGCCAGTGGTGAGAAAATATACAGCATATTAATACTGGAGAAAAAGATGGGAGAACATGTCATTGTTTAGTAAAAAAAAGAAGAAAAAAAAAGAAAAACCTTTGCAAAGGGCTCATAGTCATGGTCACAATTTCTGAGCACAACAAAAAACTGCACACAACTCACTACTATCATTTCTTGAATGACATTCTTTCTTCATCTAAAACAACTCTAAATTATCAAAGGGAGTGGTCAATGTATGTGGAAGAAAGATGAATTACCATTACCAGTTACCACTGTGATCAATGACCACACATCTTACACCATGTGGTTCATAGGGGCTGTGCAAGCCTAACTAGTCCTCCACGGCGGGAGCAAGAGCAAGCAGCGGAGCTGTCCACGCCAGTGGAGGCCTAAAACAGATGTGGCAATCCCCGTGTGCTGAGTTTTCAAAATTGGGCTCGAAACCCAGTTTTCTGTGCATTTTTCTGCCTATGCTCTTCTTCTTCCACTGTTATCTAATTTACTTGTGGCCCAAGGAGGGTCTGCTTCTTGTACATTCTTCCCTCTGCTCACATTCTTGTGTCATGTTGTGAGTTTTGATGTAGTTATTTTTGAAAATGACAACTTTTCAACTGAAGTCGAGCTTTTTTGGTGTGTGCGAGTTCATCAGTGCGAGTTCATCAAACCGCTTACGTCAGCGTAAAAGAAAGCTCAAATGCTGATTTTATAAAATCATTATTAATTACAGTTGCAAGGTGCAACTTCTAAGTTTTGGCCTGATCAATAAGATCAGGAAGGTCTTTAAAAATTTGAGACCAAACATCAAGAAAGTTTTGAGGGAGCATCAGGATTTCAACTCTTGTGACGCTCCCACCAAAACAATCAAAACTCAGCACCTGAGTTTGTCAACCTCTGGCCCAAGTCTCCCCTGCAGGGAGTTCCCTTTGGGAACCGCCTGGCCAGCGTTACACTGCCAGATGCGCCCCCCGCAGCCTGAGACTTGCGATAAGTTTGGGGGCTGTGATACAAAATATTAGTGCTGATTAAAACTCCAAAGCTGCGTCTACAAAACCAATGTCTGTGATCAAGGCAGATTCAAAAACTGATTCACAAAAAACTGGAACTCTGACTCAACATTGCTCTGGTTGGATAGACCTGAGCCCATAGCCATGGCCTCGATGAGTGTCAGTTTTGGGGGCCGAGGGAACGAATGGTGGTCTTTTAAACTAGTCCGGCAATAAACACAGCCCTTCTGCTTTGCTAGCTCTAAGAGCAAGTGGGAAAAGCCTCCCTGTGTGAGCCGCAATACCAAGAAAATAAATTGAAAGCATTCTGACAGAAATTTGAGGTGTACTTCAATGTATACGGCAATACATGTGAACAAGAAGGTGATCTCATTTTTTATAGATCCGCAGTTGCTGGATGACCTGGCCTGAATCATGGGGGGATGGGCAATTTGACATAAAGTGAGCCTTCGGCTGCCATGATCAAGGAGTTGAAACTGTCAAGACTGGGTGCGGGTGGACTCCCGTCTCTACACAGATGTTGCGAGCAGTTGAATTACGGATCCAAATGGCCTCGCTTAGCAGCTCAATCAACGCTTCAAAAACCCTGCAAGTGATAACTTCTGTTTTGGCTGGTTGCTGTTGGAATAATATGCATGTATGCATTATCATGTATGCTTTTAACCTAAACACAAACAATCCTGTATATAAATGATACTAGATTGTTTCTGGAGTTTTTCCCTCAAGTGAATCAAACCAATTATTTTCTCACTCTCAGGTGTCACAAGACTTCTAGTCTTTGAACTTCAGGCAACTCATCCTGTGTTCCCCTCAACAGGTTATGAGACCCATTGTCGCTCCGCTCCGTCTCTGTTTTCCTTTTTCATCGATTCCATCTCCGTCAATCAAGATGCCTGCTTGGACCGTTCAGAACCCCTCAGCCCTCATTGGTAATGTTCCGGTACTCGACGGCAACTCAGTTACGTTCCCAGCATGGCGTACCCAGCTTGAAGACCTTCTTGCGATTCAAGGTGTACACGACATCGTTACCGGCAAGCTCCCTCGACCGGAAACTGATCAGAAAGAAGCAAAACCAATCGCTCAAGGCTCTCAGCGGGTTTACTTCGCCGAGGAATCCGGTACCGATTGGGACTCCTTATCCGAAGTGGCTCGGGCCACTATGAAAATGACTTTGTCGGTCGACTTGGCGATCCGATACAAAGATTTGAAGCCTGCCAGCCTCCTGTTTAAAACGATCTGCGATGCGTACGAGAAAAACACTCGGGCAAGGCGAATGATGCTGGAGGATTCTTTCTGGTGCGCTCGTCACGACTCGAGTCAACCCATCGCGAAGTGGATCGCGAAGATCCGGAATGCGGCATCTGACCTCAAATCCGTCAAGCTCACTCCGGCAGATCAACAGATATGCGATCGCCTCCTTCGTGGTCTAGACAACACTTGGAAGCCGATTCGGGACCACCTCGTCTACTCGCCCAACGAGATATCTCTTGACGACGCCATTGGGGCGCTAGAGGCCCACAAAGTATCTATGCAGGTTACCTTTGACCACTCGGGCGATAATTACGCAGCCGCTGCTGTAGCAAAACCGAAGAAGAGACTCGGCTGCTGGAACTGCGGGCAAACCGGTCACCATTCGTCCGCATGCCCCAACCCCTCTCTCAAAAACAAATCGAATGCAACAGCCAAATCAGCTGTAGTGCGAGCCGGTGCAACCTCTGCGGCACCTCTCGGCAACGGTGGACCTAGCGATGATGAAGACGATGACAGCTTCGACGAAGAAATTGACGTCGTTTGGGGATGAGTCCTGAAGTAGAAATCAATTATACATTCGTAGGAAGGGCAACTCCGGCACTACCTGATGGCTAATTCTTCGTGGCGACTTGTGGTATATTTGTTGTCATGACATTTCCCTGCTCCCTGCTTCCACTGGATCTCTAGCTTGATTTTAATTACTAGTTTCTGTTCCCCAACAATGAAATATTCTTCTCTGTTAACAATAAATAGTCTAGATGTTTCAATTGTCTTAGTTTTGGTTTTCAGCAAGGGGGTGTGTTGGAATAATATGCATGTATGCTTCTAACCTAAACACAAACAATCCTGTATATAAATGATACTAGATTGTTTCTGGAGTTTTTCCCTCAAGTGAATCAAACCAATTATTTTCTCACTCTCAGGTGTCACAAGACTTCTAGTCTGTGAACTTCGGGCAACTCATCCTGTGTTCCCCTCAACAGTTGCTATCGACTTTAAACAAGTGCGGAGGCGGTAATTTATATTGAAATTCTGGGCAGTTGGGCCCGGTTGGAGTCATGAACGTCCCAGTAAGCAGTCTCACATCACTTCCCCCAGAATACCTACAATCCAGTTCATTCCTACTGAGGCAGAAGCATGATATGGTAAATATTATATTTGATGGTGTTTTTTGTGTGATCGATTATCGACTTGGCGGATTGCTGTGTTTGTAGGGACATGTCACATCAATCTCTGTGACATCTATGGCGGGCGGTTTCCCGAACTACATGATGGAAAGTGAGACACAGAAGACAAGAATGATGAATGCTTTGCATGTAGATGAACAACTAGAGTTTATATACATGCTATAGAAAGGGGTCTAGGTGAGACCTCCCGGTAACCCCTTCCTGGGTTACAACACTCCCCCCTCACCTAGACACCATCCATGATCCTCCCCCGAAAAAATTTGAAGGGCTCTCTGGATAGTGCTTTAGTGAGGATATCAGCAAGTTGTTCCTTTGTGGGGACCCAAACTAATTCTGTTTTCTTCTCATGGAGGGCCTGGTTGGTCAGATAGTACTCTCTCTCGACATGACGGACTCGTTTGTTTGCTGAGTCGTCTGTACTAACCCGGATTGCTGATTGATTATCGCAATGCAGAACTCCCGTGAAACTTTTCCTTAGTATGTCAGTTAGAAGATGTCGCACCCAAAGGACTTGCCTAGTCCCCACTCCAAGAGCCATGTATTCAGCTTGGCACGTGGAGGAGGCAACAGTTGCGAACCTCCTTGAAGTCCACAGGACTGGACATCCAAAAAATGTAACCACGATTCCGTATGTTGACTTCGCGAACTCACCTCCCCAAGAGGCATCGCAGTAGCATTTTAGAGGCTTCAGTGAATCGTCTGGGAAAAGGTTCAGATAGAGATGTTGAGTCTTAGCAATATATCCAATTAGGTGTCTTACCCCTTTCCAGTGGTTCGTCCCTGGTTGCGCTGAGAATCTGGCGAGGAGGTTGACAGCAAAGGCAATGTCGGGTCTACTTCCCACTGCCAGATAGCTCAGGGAGCCTATAATAGAAAGAAAGGACGTGGACGTGGATTTGTCGCCTGCCGGATCAGTCACCAAGGGTAGAGAAGGAGGTAGGGGAGTAGCATGAGTAATGCCACCTTCCCAGTGTGAATCGAGTATTTGCTTGATCAGCTTGGGTTGCCGGAGGCTGAAACCACGCGCAGACCGTTTGACTTCAAGGCCAACGATTGAGTCGAGCCCTTCTGTCCACTTGATTTTGAGGAGTCCTTTGAGGCCTGATTCCAGTGATTTTAACAGATTGGTCGATGATCCTGTGACAATTCCGTCATCGACATGAATCCAAATCACCCCCTGGTGTTCTTGGTGTTTCACTGTATATAAACTGTTATCATACTGGCTTGCTTCGAAACCTAGTTGCTTGAGTACTCCTTTTAGGTGCAGCCACCAGCACCGGGCAGCTTGCTTGGTACCATACAGTGCTTTGTGCAAGAGCATTGCCTCACCTTTCTGGACGGGTAGGCCTTCCGGTGCCTCCACCCAAACCTCCTCATCGATAGGCGCGTTCAGGTACGCAGCTACGAAATCAAAAGAATAGACGGGCCAGTTGAACTTTGCGGCGAGTGTTAGTATGAGTCTCATGGACACGAAGGTGGCCGTCGGCGCGAAAGTGGCCTCATAGTCCAAGCCAACCACCTGTGTGAACCCTTTTGCGACGAAGCGAGCCTTAAAACGTATCACCTCACCCTGATCATTTGATTTTTCCGCGAACACCCACCGTCCTTTCAGTGGTCTCCTGCCGGGGGGTAACTTCCGGACCGACCAAACTTTCATGTCGTCCAGGTTGCGGAGTTCCTCTGCAATGGCCTCCTTCCACTTCGCCCAAGAAACCGACTTTTCCGCCTGTTTGTATGTTTTAGGAACATTTGCCGCATAGAACTCACAGTCTAAAAGAACTCTGTCGACGATTAGCTCTTGTTGCTCAAAAATAAGCTCATCAGTGAAATTGTTTAGCTCCATTTGGTTCATGATAAAAGAGAGATCCTGCTTCGATGGGCCGTCCGCCGCTGATGTACTTGCCTTAGCTGGCGGCGCTGCGGTGGACTGTTCAGATTTTGGGAGGAAATCCGCACTTGTCTCGGCGGGTGCCGACGGGGAAAGATGTTTGGGTTCTGGAGGAGTAACGGCGGCCACGTCATCCTTGGGTGATCTTGGGAAAACAGGGCGCTTGTTTGGCCAGTCAACCACCGCCGCCGCGACTAGTTGGTTGGTCTCCTTGATGAGGAAAATCCAGCCCTTGCTATCGTCGCAGTGGGCCACTACCCGTCCTTTGAGCCCCCTGTCATCTAGTTTTTTTCTTTTTTCCTCGGGGACATGAATAAAGGCCTTTTCGCCAAAGATCCTCGACCTGTCTAGGGACGGTTTGAAACCATAAAACGCTTCAAAGGGTGTCAGTGTGCCACTGCGTTTATTGGGAATTACATTCAGGATGTCACACGCCCAGATGAAAGCGAAACCCCAGAAGGGTTTGCCCATCCCGCTGTCTATGAGGATCGTTCTACCCATGTCAGCTAGCGTGCGGTTAAACCTCTCGATGATACCATTCTGGTAATGGTGGTATGGCAAGGCGCGTTCGGCTTTGATCCCTTGTGTGAGGAGAAAATGTGTCAGCACATCGCTGGAGAATTCTCCACCATTGTCTGTTCGCACACATTTCACTTTCTTCGACAACTGGCGCTCCCAACGTAGGACGGTCTCGATCAGCAGGCCACATGCTTGAGTCTTCTCGGCCATGACTTTCGCCTCACTGAAACCTGTTGCTAAATCTCGAATCGTCAGAAGATATTTTCCTTTATTAAAGGTTTCAGCCTCAAATGGCCCTACGATGTCAGCTGTAACTACTTCTAATTTTTCAATGGGCCGATCTGATGGGGATAGCTTGTTGCGGTTCACGCTCTTACTTCTCGCGCATACATCACACTTCAGTTCCCCTTTTGGAAGCGAAGCCGGCAGGTCCTTACATAGCCTTTCCTGGATGACTCGGCGGACTTTGGCGAGGCTTGCATGTCCAAAAAACCTGTGCCAAAAAAGTAGTATCTGCTCATTTCTGTCTAAACTGTTAGTTACGGTATCGCTTTTAAGTTCCTCGAGATTCAAAGGGGTCACAAAAGCGTTCCTTCTGAGGTCAACTCTGAGTTCAGTCGATATGGGACAGAAAGATGGATGATAGTTCTTTTCATTGCAGGGAACATTGGTAGGAGGAAAACAAGCTTTTGGCGTGGAAACGGGGGAAAGGTTTTTTACTATGAGAGGACGAGGGAAAATCCATCTGTTTTGCTTCGGGATGAAAGGGCACCTGAAACAGAGGACGTTGTTGCTAGAATATATCAAATAGCAGTCCTGCGCCACATTGTACGCAAAATAAGTGTTAGCTTTGCGTAACGCAGCTAGAGAGATGAGAGTAGATCTGGCAATCTCACGATACAAGACGCCGTGGATGGTGACCATTTGGTTGTCCACACCGGAGAACGTTAGGTCTCCTTTGCCCGTGATATAGGCCTGGTTGCCTGATGTTGCAACTTTCAAAGGGATTGGGGAAGAAAAACGACGGAAATTAGAGAGGAGTTTGAAGTTGCCACACAAATGGTGGGACGCACCTGAGTCCACTATGGGAACGTTGTCCGATACCGCCACCTGAACGTGGTCAAAGTGAATGTTAGCCAGGTCCTCAGCCACGTCGCCAAGTTCGACCATCCGGGCCACCAATTCTTCGTGGCCGGCGGACTCTGCCGTGGCCTCATTGGCTGAAGGTTTCGGCCTTTGCGATCCAATGGACTCTGACTGTCCATTGACCCGCTGGAGCCGGTACTGCGGAGGGCGGTAGTAGTCAGCTGGTCTGGATGGAGTGGGGTTTGTTGGAGGCGGATTGTTGTTGTTGGGGCCGTGTGGTTGGCGAGGCGTTGGTTGGGGTTGAGGGTAGACAGCTCCGAAGCCAGGTGGTGTGACAATGGGATAGAAAGACTGAAAGCCAGGGCCGTGTCGTGTTTGGGAGCCTTGTTGTTGTGGTTGGGTCCGGAAACGGTTTCTGGACGACATGGGGCGGGCACGGAATGGGCAGTCACGGAGAAAATGTTCGTGTGATCTACATTGCCAGCACAACCCGGGCCTGCATGGGCCATAAAGTCATGCGCATCTGGCTGGTTGTCTGGGTGAACCGGGAGCTGAGGAAGTTCAGTCTGGCGTCGGGAAATGGTGCTCCGGGTTGATGGGTCTCGGCTGCATGACCAGGGGTGTGGGACGTTGGCTGTCACGATGTTGGACTGGAATGCTGTTGACGCCTGATAATGTCGATCAATCGGACCATTAACTCAAAACCCATGGCTGGGTGTTCAGGTGTTGCTGTTTGAAAGTCGATCTCGATCTGGCGGTTGAACTCCTCCTGGAGCGCAGGTTCGGAGTGGAGTCCGTTTTGCAATACGAGTCCTGCTAAGTATTCACGGGTGAAAAGCATTCTGGCGTCGGTCATTTTGTCCAGAATGTTGGCGATGTGCGTCGACATTTGTGCGGTAGTAGAGTGGTCCGCGACGTTGAAAGAGATGAGCCTCCGGAACAGGTTCAGTTGGGCCGCCCGACTGACCGAGTGGAACCTGGCGAAAAGGTCGTTCCACATTGCATGGGCGCTCGGTAGTCTGGATACTCCGCGGCGAAGTGAGCGGTGGACCGTGTTGACCAGGAGGGCCCGACCGACTCGCTCGTGTAGTAGGTTTCGAGCTGGCTTGTTGAAGAAGGAGACTGCACCAGTGGCCCCGCGCATGCGCTCTTCGAGGAAATCCTCCCACGCAGAGAAGTTTGCACCGTCCGCTGCGAGTAGGTCCGCGTCATCGATGTGGCTACTGGCGGACGAGATAAGACTTGCGGCTAGGCGATTGATCTCCACCTGTTGTAGTCTGGCGGCTCGCTCCTCAGGATTCGGGGTGCGGCGGTTGCCTCTCCCCTCCGTTGCCGTCCCTTCATCGGTTGGGTCAGTGGCATGTGGTGGGTGGTCACGCTCCTGATTGTCGGTAGCCTGGCGGGTCTGTGTGTTTGCGGTGGTGTTGGGGGTTGAGGTGATAGGTAGGTTTCCTCGAGGGTTGTTTGAGATAATGCTCGGGTCGGACATGATGGGACTGGAGGTTGTTGGGAAAGCGGGTTAAGGGGAAAAGGAATAACAGGAAAGGAGGGGAAAGGAAAGAAAGGTGGAAAGAAGAAAGGACAACTGGTGGTGAGGAGGATGAGACGAGATCAGAAAGGAAAAACGGGATAGGGAAAAAGGAGAAAAAACGGTCGGGATGAGGTACGGGTTTGAGAAAAAAAACGAGTTGGGGTAGAAGACAAAAAAAAAGGAGAACTAGATTCGGGAAGTGGAAGATTGGCGATTGAGAAGGGAAAACAAAGGATAAAAAAAAAAAAAAATTGGGGCAAGAGGGTGGAGTCGATATTGTAGGATGAGGTAGGTGCAGGAGGTGGTAGGGGTCGGTGTAGTCGGAGATAACAAACAAAACATGGACCCTACGCCTGTTCAGCCCCTTAACCTAGCGTCCCAGGTAAGGATAAACCGCAGATAGCTAGTCTTTGGTCGCTTAATCAGCAGTAATGATCTAAGTTAAGTTCGTAAGTTTGATATCGGAAGGATTATGTGTATCACAGGAAACGATAAATGGTTATAGTTTGTAGAGAGAAGAAAGAATGTCAGGTCGATTACGCCCTACACTGGGCTACCTATGCGATTCGTTGTTTTGAAAGGAAAAAAAACGGTTATTCAAGTAGAAAAAATTTTTGTACTTCAGCGAGATTCTTTAAAAGGTGCTCATAACCTGATGGAAAGTGAGACACAGAAGACAAGAATGATGAATGCTTTGCATGTAGATGAACGACTAGAGTTTATATACATGCTATAGAAAGGGGTCTAGGTGAGACCTCCCGGTAACCCCTTCCTGGGTTACAACACTACATATGCAGACTCCGCGAGGCATCGCCGGATCGGGTGAATGGCAGGTGCGGATAATGTGGTGAAGGCCCAGACTTCTGACGCATCGGGCAGGCGGATGGTCGATCAGGCTGGCAAACGGCTAAACCACTTAACTTCTACTAAATAATCCCAAGACATTCAACAAGAGCCAACTCGAGCACTACACATAGCAGTTGTACACTTTAAGTTTGTTTGAGCCTTTGGAGTTTGATCCTCTGTACTCACTCCCCTCTCATACACCATGGCTTCAACAACACGGACTCAGGTTCCCAAGGTAAGTGATGTCAATCTGTTGACTCTGGAGTCAGGTTTGAAAATTGATCACCGAGCACTAATGATGTATTCTCTTTCACTTAATTGCAAAATTATCGCAGTCTACCCCGTAAGTGTTTGAGCTTATGATCAGATGTGCCCCCATCCAATCCAGCGCTTTTTCGATCACCAGGAATGTTTAATAATTTATTGATTCGTGTTTTTGTTTGGTTGGTGGGGTTCCTTTTTTTGGGGGGGCGGATGGTTTTGGTGGGGATGAAGTCTGGTTTGCTCAGGACACACACGACCGATCCCATCGATATCATTCTCGAGTCTCCAGCCGGATGGACAATACATGATTATTTCTGCTTGCAAAGATGGTAAACCTATGTTACGAGACTGGATGGGTGATTGGATTGGAACGTTTCTGGGTAAGCGGATCAAGCTTTTCTTTTCTTTCCTTCTTCCTCTATCAATCGATTCTCACAATTTCATCCAGGCTAATCTCATGAAATTTATTCTTTTTTCCTTGGTATCAATTTTTTTTTTTTCCTTTCCCTCAAAGGTCACAAGGGTGCCGTTTGGTCGGCGAAATTGAATCAAGACGCGAGTCTAGCAGTAACCGGATCGGCAGACTTCTCTGCGTAAGCCTCAACAATTTGACTGGTCATTCAATCCATCGAAAATCATTATATCATATCAATTCATAAATCTAAACAAAACGACATTCTCTCTCAGCAAGGTATGGGATACGTTCAGCGGCGATGTAGTACACACATTCCAGCACGATCACATCGTCAGGGCAGTTGACATCAGTCCGAGTGGTTCACATATCTTCACGGGAGGGATGGAGAAGAAGCTACGACGTTACGACCTTTCACGACCGGAGGAGCAGCCAGATGAATTCATTGCGCCTGGCTCGACGACAGCACACGAGGGGATGATCAAGAGTGTGATTTGGGATGAGCCCCACCGATTGATCATCAGTGCTGGGGACGATAAGCGGATACGTTGGTGGGATGCACGGCAGGGTGGAGGCAGCTCGGGTAGCTTTGTCTCCGAGTTGGAGTTTCCAGATGGCTTGTTGAGCGTCGAACGGAGCTTTGGAAGCGACTGGCTCTCCGTAGGATCGGGCAAGAAGGCCATGTTCTTGGATACCGACACTCGAGAGATCATCTTCCAACACGTCCTCACTTATCCCGTTCCTCTGCTCTCTCGCCCTCGACTCGCGATCGATTGTTACTGGAAGCTCCAACGATGGCTGATTCGAGTCTATGATGCAATCTCAGGTGAAATGAAAGAAGAAAATAAAGGTTGGTTCTCTTTCGCCACTCTTAGGCATCCTTAGCTACATCGCTCCACTTATCCTCTCTAGAAAACACTCAACAAGTCCATTGGACAACATGCTGAGGGGTTCTTTTTGTTAACAATTTCGTAGGTCATCATGGTCCAGTACATTCTATTGCTTTTTCACCTGATGGAGAGCTATATGCCTCAGGCTCTGAAGATGGTAAGCTGCTTTGTTGACTCTATTTTTTTTTAAAAAAACGCGCCTTTAAATTTCCTCTCTTCTACCCTTCTGTTCTTTTTTTGACACTTCCATGTGATTTGATAACTTAGGTACCATCAGATTATGGCAAACGACACCGAAGAACTATGGGCTATGGAGGTATGATGCTTAGCATTGCGCGAATTGCCCACAAAAACGCTTAAAACACCAATCAACTTTATATTTCCATCTCAAATCAGACCTTCAACTTGTCCTTTTCTTTTCTTTTCATCTCCTCTTCCCTGTTTCTCTTTTTTCCCTTCTTTTTTCATATGAAAACTTGCCTTTGTTTTGTTTTTATTTATCTT